CATCACAGGCGAGGGCTCCAGCCACACGGATTGTCACAATCGCCTCCATGAAGAGTAAGAGTTGGATGTATTTGATGAACCAGATTACACACACCAAACTAATATAGAGGGTTGGGTGATCGGCTCACTGAGTCAAAGCAGATGATGTGGTGGTTGTTTTTTTTTAACGCAAGTCTTGAAGCACAGGGAAGCTCCTGAGAGCGTATAATATGCCAGTATTTAAATGGAATAATCTTTAACGGGCCAGCTCGCTTCAGGCAAACTCACAGAAAGGCCAGTGTAGGCTGCAGCCGTTCAAGGGCTTACAACAGAACTGTGCAAAGTTTTATTAAAAACAGCTTTTAAAAAAACCTCCTTGCACAGTATTTCAAAACTGGTCCAGAAGTCACTTTACAAGTTTGATTCTGAAACACAATTACTGAGGCGAGATGTTTAAGGTCACACTTCATTGCAGCTATGTGCACACACGCTCCCTCTGTCCTGGTGCCTGACACCACGCTGACCACAGTAACCTGAGCTATTATTTTCTCAGCACAACACTTTCTCATTCTGCTACAACTTGCGTTATGGGATAACCTGCACTAGGATGACCGGGACATTAAACCGTCCATAGACTCTCCTGCTTTATTAAACAAAAAAAGGGGAAAAAAAGCAATTCTTAGAACAGAAAAGTTTGAAAACTCTTGACTGAATCCATTCAGTCCCAGGGAGGGTCTGTCTATATCTGTATCAAACCTAGAGATATTTATCTAAGCTGCTCTTAAAAACTTCCCACGATGGAAACTCAAAAAATCTGCCACAACCATAATTACCTGAAAGCTTAATTCTTCTTAAAACCGAAACTTGTGGCCCAGTTGTTTTTTGCTGTATTTAAGCCCACAACCTTCTTAGATTATCCAACAATTGCCAAAAACCAGAAATCACGCTTCTCCGTGTTTTATGAGGAAGGTCACGAATAGAACTTGCTGGGGAAAATCAGGCAATAAAATACAGTTCTAAATATATTGTGGACAAACCCAGCATTGTTTCCCTTTTCCTAGCTCACGAACCTCATTCCTACTGCAAATCTCAATCCTGCTTCTGGAGTGAACAGGACATCTCTGCTACTCCTCAGCTCCATAAAGATGCAAGTATTTGTTTTTAGAAGGTATTCTGTGAAAGATACTGTCTTTTCCAAACAGTTACAGGAGCACCTGTAATTTCTGACCAGGGTCTCAGAATGCTGGAACATCCAGAACTCAAGTGGTAATAAATAAATATATAAATCCTGATTGTGACACCACATATAATTGCTTTTGTCCTGTATTCATAAGCAACATTTGCTATTCCTTTCATGTGTGGAAGGAATGGCAGCTTTTCTCTTCAAAATGCACCTACTGTTGGAAGTCTGCAGTGACCTCATTAAAAGTTATTTCCATCACCACTAAACTGTTTGCTTTTGAGTTACTAGTGGTTTCTCATGGAACAGTAAGAACTCAAAACAGCTTAGTACGGGCCAAGCACAGGCCACTGCCACCCATTTTTCTATAGTTACTGTCTATCAAAGGGCTTCCTGTTGCTCTTGCCAGGTTCTCTTCTACTTATCTGCTGCGTCTTGACTGACAGTGGAATTAATGTGAATCAGCACTGGCTTTCTCTGACCTATACACAGTCCCTCGGTCAGTCCCGGCCTCGCTACAGTTGTACAAACTATTGCAACCACCATCGCTCCTGGTCGATGAGTGTTGGGGACACAGGGCTGGCTGAGCCATCGTGCCCAGAGAGGACTTTGCTCACAGAAAAGAGTGAGAATTTAAGTCTCGAAAAGCTTTAGCAAGCAGAGCTTTCTTGTTGAGGAAAGTTTCAACTGAGACACCTCATTCCAAAAGTGAAACTCAACTACCTATTATAAACTCTGTTAATAATCCACAGGTATGCAACAGAACACTCTTTTAAAAATAAAAAAATAAAAAAATTACAATAACCCAGAAGAGCACAAGCAACGAACTATTCATTTAGCCATGGCTGAATCATCAGGCAACATGCACTGAGATGTCATTGTGCTTTGTGTAAATCACTGCCAGTGCTGCAAATGCACCTGAACTAATGGAGTGCACAGATAAACACCTCTGTACAGCTGTGCTGGTTTTGTTCAAACTTGTGTATTTGCTGCCTGCGTTACCATGACAAAGACTCAGCACAAAGCACTGAATAAACGATGTGTGTAGTCTAGGTCTGCCTGGGTATAGCCTTCAGCTAGCTGAAGGTACAGCTGTCTCTCCTGCAGCCACACCTTCTGGCTTTGGGGTACACATCCAGTACAGCATCAAACTACACGTTTAGATCACTGCCACAATGGAGTGATGATTAATCCAGCACTGAGGGAATATACAAATCTGCTCTCCTAATTATTAAACAGACACACTCAATTACAAGGTTTTTTCCCTAATTGAAATAATTCTGCTGTCACTTCACATACGAGGATTTAGCAAGGAACAGCAGAAACAAGAGAACCCCAGTAATGACTTGTACCAGTGAGGCCAGATGTGCAACACTGCACACAGAATCTATTCCTGAATCTTCCAAACTCCCTACGAAGGACGAGATTTAGTTATTTTCATCTTGATACACATCACATCGTCCAGCTCTTCTCAAATTTAAGGCTATGTATTTCAAACAACCATTTATCACAGATTTATTTGCTACTGTTCTCATTGACTGACTTTTTCCTCCCGTAACTCTACGCAATGTTAAAGCTACCTACTACCATACCTTCTCTAAATGGGTAAAAAACAGGTCTCTCTAGAGCAATAGACAACCCATGCTTTTGTATTCTCTTATTTATTGTACAAAAGCTTAGCCTTAGATCTCTACTCATTTTTGATGCCAAGTACAATTCAGTGAGTGTTGCCTTCACTTTCAAATTTAGCTTCCTAACACGCAGCTTTTCAAAACTACGCTCATAAGTATAATCCACGTTTTTCACCAATGCTGAGTATTTAAAATTTAGCCACTTACATGATAAGAGGGCCTAACTTTATGCAGTTAAACTGAAGGGAAAAAACAACAACAACAACAACCAAAAAAAACCAAATGAGAACAGAGTTCTCAGAGACTAGTGCCGGCACAGTACAAATAGAACCATTGTACTGGCCCTTCCCACTTAATTACACACTTGTCTCTGGTTTTCATCAAGCTCCTGCAAGAAGTATAACCTGTAAAAATATTTGTGAAATGAGAAAATGAAATACTACAGATCTGAAAAATTCTATTGATCTGTGTGTACACTTCTTGATGCAGCTGAGTGTATGGGAATTTCTATCTCGGTTCTCAAGCCATCAGATCAAACAGCTTCCCTGACAAATGTTTGTTATTCACTTTACACTCCAAACAATCAATATATAAATCACCAGCAGTCCTTCTCAAAACCACTTTTTGCATACTTTATCTCCCTTATAAGTAGTGAATCATCACAGATCTTTCCTAATATTGTTTGCTTATTCAGTCACGTTATAATAGCACCTAATGATACCAAATGAAATTGGTGCTTCATAGAGCAAATGTCCCTCTCCCAGAGATCTTAAAATCTTAGCAACTTATAATCAAAATCCCAAACTCTTAATATGGTTACTGGGCAGAAGAAACTAGAAAGAGCTGATAGGAAAAAACAAACCACGACAACAGACTGCATACTAAACACAACTCAGCCATTCTGAAATGCTCACACAAAGGCATTGCTACCCCATGAAGTGAGCTTGTCGCTCCTGCAGGTGCAAAGGTTTCACAAAAGTGATCGCAGAGCAGCAGTTCCACATCCGATTTCCTCATCTGCTACCATCACAGGGAGACAACTATTTATCACAGCGATACCGACAACTCTGTGTGAGGCCACACACAGATACTGACGTTTAGCTGTTTACACAAGCATTGCTCCTCAACCTGCCAGTCTTCTTCCAGGAAAAACAGGCAGCTGGACCTTTCACTTTCTTCCAGATATTATTTTGGAGTAGTTTGCATAATGCTATTACCATTAACGCACCTGCTGTAGAGTAGCATTTTGATTTCCAGACAGGGAAAAAAAAAAAAGAAAAAAGAACAAAAAATGGAGAAAGTTTCAGTAAGAGATACTAGTAGGGGTAAGAAAGTGATTGCTCCACAGATGATTACAAAAACCACAAAACACCTGGGGAACAATGGGTTAAGGAGTGCACAGAGAAAGGAGAGTTACCTTGCATCTGCAGAATAAACATCATCATACTTCATACATCTCTGTAAAACAACCCTTTTCTCTTCCCCTGCCTGCAAGCCTTTGAGGACACGGAGCTATCAGTAACAAATGGCTAAAGTTCCGGAAACGCTCTGGGGTACTTCAGGATAAACTGTCCTAGGAAAAGTAACCACGTGTAACTTAAATGTATGTTCAACGCATCATCTGGCTGCACAGCCGCGTTGTATTAGCCCCTGCTGGTTGTCACACTGCAAGGCACTGCATTGTATCTAGAATTTAAAAAAATAAAAAAAGAAACAAAACAAACCAAAAACCTCCGGGCAAATATTTCTGTCTGGTAAAATGACTCCTAATGTTTTACGTATGGACAAACTGCAACACCATGAAGAAATCGGGAGCAAAATTATGAAGGATTACACATGAAACGCTTAGATCAAGGATAAACTAAAAGAATCATTTGAACAGAAAATCACAAATACAGCTCCGGAGTGAAAGTCTCCGATTGGCACGATATCCAAGACTAGACAGCAAAAGAATGAAGCAGTGAACGAAATCAACAGATGAAACTGTGGAATTTCCTTTGCCCGAGGAGTTAAAAATCACAATGCACGACGAAGATGGGTAACATGGAGCCTACAGCAGTAAATGGACCAAGTCTTTACAGGTTTTCCAAATATACAGGAGAAAGCATAACAAGAAATGCTAATGCAACTTTATTCGGACTTGTATTCTAAGTACTTAGAGTGCAAGTTTACTTTTATTAATCTAGTAAACTGTGGCAATTAATGAGATATCAGTTCCCCTTCAGGATAACATAGAGTACTGGCACGGTAAGAGCAAACACGGCACATGTCAGAGCAGTGCTGTAAATGGAATTTTTCTTGATTTGCGTTTCCAGTCTCCGCTCGGTATCGCACAATTCTAAAATGACATCTCTGACGGCAGAAGCCTGGCCCTTACCCTCCGCTGCCGACCTCGGCATCACTCGCTCCACCGGTCGAGAATGAACGGCGACTTTAACACTGTGCAGCTCAGCAATCACTTGCACCACGCTCTCCTGCAGGCTGTTCAACTGCTGCTGTAAGCTCCCTAGGCAGGAACTGACTTGTTTTGTGTAGTTCAGCTGCTCGTTCAAAGGAATCAAAAGAGAATCTATTTTTATGGAGTCATTCCTGTCTTCTGTAGTTAACAAAGCACCTTCTTTCACTTCCTGCGATGTCCTTGTTCGCAGCATGTTTTTCAGGTCTGCTATGACGTCGCTGAGATCCTTCTGCTGTAAGTAATGACTGGAGGCCTGTTCTCTGATGGCTTCTTGCAGATTTATTGGGCCCTTCTGTGCTTCGAGCACCAAGACTTTTAATTCTTGCAGCCTTACTCGATTAACATAGGTGGAACCAAGAACACCTATAATAGCTCCCAGTACAGAACCAATAATAGACCAGTTCTTCGTTTTTTCAGCTCTTGTTCGCTCTTTCTCATGGCTTTCCCTTACAGCTGCAGAGAAGAGAGAGAATTTTTCTCTCTCGGACTCTTCTGCATTTAAATATGCAGCTCGGTACCTCTTTTCTTCCTGCAAGAAATAAAGTGATTTGAAGGAGAAGGTACAGTATGAAGGTACACAGTCTACACTAAAAAAACCCCACCCTACCCCCAACCCCAGTGCAGATGAAGGAATAGGAATGAAGAACATCCATTAGTTCTGTTTCAGAAATTATCCTTTAAATGTAGTATTTTCTTTATTAATCCTTCTTAAGTCAATGAGGCACCATTTTAAGCCTAAACTGAGAAATGGAAAAGGTCATCAAGAATTACAGCTGAAGATCCTCTACGCAAGGATCTATCACATGCTGATCACAGAAAACGGGCACGAGTGGGGAAAGTCTTTCTCTCCCCATAACGTTCACTTTTTTGGCCCTGCTTCCTTCTTCAAACAACTTTACCACACTTCTTCAGTTCTAAACTCCTAAATGGGAACTGAAAATAAGACTGGAAAGGATGCCTGGGATAGGTTCACTTCATTAATACACATGCTTCTTACTCCTCTGTCTTCTCTTTCCTATCCTGCTCATAGACAAACATCTTCCCTTTCTCCCTTCCCACCGGCTTCAGCATGGCAATTCCTTTGGTAAGCCATTTTATCCCAGCAAAATAGTGGAAGGTTTTCTGGTTATTTTCCTGCAGTAAAATTCCACTATTTTAGCACAGGAATCGCTGCTTTTGGTAGTGGTGAGCCTGTTGGCTAACTGCATCTCCCAGAATTATTCTCATCCAAGCACGTATTTCTTCTGTAAGGTGGCACCACCACCTTACAGACAGCAGTGACTTGAGTCCTACCTTTCTTCACAGTCACGCAGAGCTCTGTTCTTCTTTAAGTCTCATCCTCACAGACCTGATCCCTTATTTAAGCAACTACAGCTCTCCAGTTCCTTCCTGATGTCCTACCCACTGATCCAGGAGCTCAATTTAAGCTCAGGCACGGGTACCCACTCCTTGCCTGAGCTATACCATAGGTGTACTTGTTTCCAGGCCTTTTCCCTGCTGCTCCTGCAGTTTCACCTGGATTTCCTGGACTGACTTTGGCTGCTACTTTATCTTTATCTCTGATTGATGCACCATTAATAAAGATGTTTCTGTTACCAGCTCTGCTTGGCTCATCCAGCTGAGGTGCTGTAGGACTGTGTCCTGTCAATGAGGATGCTGCCCCAGCCTGCACTGCAGTCAATCTCACCTTCTTGCTTGCTCTCCATCACAGAGCAGCCTCACTCTTGCTGCTCTCTCACAAAAGCTTTAAGGAATTGCCTGGGTGTTGCAGCCACACAGAAGGCAGCTGAGAGAGTTTTCATGGATTAACAACAAGAAAGGAGCTTCTCTCATCACATGGAATGTTAATTCATTGAATACCAGCTTTTTGTTGACTACTCATCCACAGGTCACCACTCATCTTTCCAGGATTATTATCTTCAACTCGCTTCTCCAAATGTACTGCCCTATTTTGCATTAACATATACAATTTGCATAGCAGGTCAAATATTCTATAATAATTAACTAAAACATCAGAAATTGACTTCAGAATTGAACTGCATCTGCAAAAACAGCCACTAGTGACAGAAGCAAAGCACATAACTTTTCATCATATTTGCCAGTGCTCAAGTACCAACAAACTACCTGCAGCAACCTGTGTTCCAGAGTAGCCAGTTCCAAATACTGGGTGTCATCTCGAGAGACCCTGTCTAAGCGGTCTCGAATTTCCTTCAGTTTAATCTGCTGGGCTTCTACATTTTCACGAGCCTCTCGTACTATCCCTCGAGCTATCATAAAGACATTTTCAGCCTGAGAAGAAAGAGCATTTATTTTAGAGACTTATTACCAGACAGATCTAAATCGCTAATTATATGAATTTTGGGGGGAAAAAAAAACCCAACAAAACAAACCACATTCCATTTCAATCTAAAGGATAAGCTATATTTACTGACATGCATAGTCTAGAACACATTCACAGTACCTGCACAGACAGTCAAAGCAGAAAAGAAGACACGATTCTCCTTAGAGGGTCTTTTTTTCCTCATAACCAACAGTTATACTTCACATAGCTAACTCATAACTTCTAAATCTCCGCATTATCTCCACGTTTACCTCTGTCACTTTTCCCTGTGCCTCTCGAACTTCATTAATTCCAACAAACTCTTCGTATCTGTCCCACCAGCTCCTGCACGTTGCAGACATTTTTTGAAGGGAGTTTTTCCCCATGACAGTCCCAGCCTCCGTCAGCCGATGGAGACGACCCATGGCCATTTCTATCGCAGACTTGGCTTCAGGCCTCTTAGGTGCTGACGAGCAGAAAGGCCGCACTACGTGTGAATTCATTTTTGGACTCCACTTTATCAAAGAATGGTGATATTGCAGACCACAGGACACCGAGGACACACTTGACTTATATTTCATCGGCCCCATGTCTTGACTTTAATCACTGAATAAAAGTGCTACAAGGATGAAGAAGAAAAAGAAAAGTTATTGAAGTACAGCTGATTAGTAGCTCTTAAAACTACACGTGTATCAAAACCAATAAAATTCAAGAACGGCTAAACCATGACTAGTTTTACACCACTACTTACCTAGAGAACTTTCCACAATTTTCGAAGGACCGTTCTGCCACAGATTCCTGCTTTTCTGCCATGAGTAAGCACTTCCACCATGCTTCTTGATTACTAATTCACTCACGGCGTGAATAGCAACCATGTGCAGATCCAGTACCAGCAGGGGCAGCTTCAGAGTAATTTAACACTTCAGCACAGATTGATTGCCATATGAAACTTTGTCTTGTGCTTTCACACCTGAGTTCGGTGTACCATGTCACAGGCACTAATCATTCTGCAAAAGGACAGAAAAGGAAAAAAAGACAGAGAGGGGAAGAAAATCTTGATAAAAAAAAAAAGTGGGGCTTGATCATTCAAGATACACAAAGTGTTGAAGAATGTAAAGACAAACGCATAAAGGACAGAGTGAAAACATAGAAGTGTTGAACTGACGACAAGTATTCTCACGAGGTTGTCTACAAAACTAAAACATAAGGAAGAGCCACATTATTGAGAAAGCAGTTTTTAAAAACTATTTTGAAACAGTTTTCCATGTAAATTTTAGGTGGTTAATGACATCATATATGTGCAAATACAGGTATTTCCACAGAAAAGGATTCTTCCTACTGGAAGACGTTTTGCATCAGCTTTTAGCTGGCTCCTGATTCTGAACGTCACAGGTTCATTCCCTGTTAAGTATTTCTAACAAACAATAGTAACACCAAGCACCATTATGAAAATCTTACCAGTTGTTTTATATGCATAATAATATGGTAGATCAAAACCACAAGAGCACAGAAATGAAGTGAGTTCACTCTCCTTCCTGCATCACCCACTTGTCTCACCGTTACACCACCTACTCTACGTCGCATGCTATGCACTAAAACCTCAACCGAACTTTGTCCCTTCTAGACTACAACATTTCCCTCTTTTAACTGCGCTACTACACCAAGAGTTTTACCAAATATTCAGGCTATTGAGACAGTATAGCAAAAAGACAGAGAAAGTTGAGATTTTTAGAAGAATTTCTAGGTAGACAGTTGCAAACAGTCTGGAAAGAAAGTAATCTCAGTCTGAGCTAAGCCAGTTAGGAAAGCTTCATCTGGGATAACATGCCTTGCTCCTCTCTTGCTTCCCCTTCTAAGAAGATGAGTTTCCTCTGCCTGCAGGCATTGACATAAATATTCTTTCACAAGGCTTACACCACAGTTGCTACACGCACTGGTAGCAACTAAGACCAGCTTTTACGGGTCTTTTCTTATTTTGCAGCGGTCGCTTTTGTCACTACCAAAAAACGTAAAAGCAGAATTTCCGATATGCCACCACACGTTCCCAACTCCGCTTCTCACGCCTGAGGGGAGGGAAAAGCCTTGGTTTTTCCACACGACCGACCCCTTCCCTGCCGGCGGGGGCCCTTTCGCCGCACGCAGAGCTACGAGCCTCAGCTCCCGGCGCCCGACGGGCAACACGGCGGGACTGCTGCCGCCCT